CTCAGAATGGTGGAATACCGCACCATACTGTGTGAAATGGGGTGTGTGATCCAGGTCTTAGGGGCTCAAAGGCTGGTACAGTGTTAAGGGGAGTGGGCCCCTAGATCTTGAAATGTCCCTTTAATATTACAGATGGGGAGGCCAGAGCTTTTAATTGCCAAGCTCATTCTGCTAGTTATTGGCTAAGCGTTGATTCCTAGTTCACAGAAACTCGTGGAAAGCTGCCAACCACGTTGGGCTCTGAGACACTCTGGAGAAGCCCCTCTTGGGTCTGCTCTGGAAGGAGAGAGTACAGATGCAGTGCTGACCTTTAGTGTGTCTGAAAGACAGGAGCTTGTTTTAGAAACCACTGCACTCCTACGTACAACAGCAGTCATCACTGAGAACTTTAGGAAGTGGTGCTGCATCTGCCTCAGAGACAGTTGACTGCTGATGGTTCAAACACATTTAGGCAGAAATCACAAGGTGCTAATTGATTACCTACCTGATCCCTATCAGCTGGGAGGAACTCTGACCCAGTCCTGTGGCAGTCTAGAGAAATTTATGCTTAGGTACTGTTTTTAGCTGCTGCACGGCTTAGAACAAGGTTGGTGGTGGTGGTTTTTTTTAAACCATGACTGTATTCACTTAAGACAATCAGTCGCTATCAAGCAAATGTTTTAGGTATACTAGAGCATTTACGCATTTGCAAAGGAACTTGTTATTCAGTAGATCCAATCCTGGTGTAGGTGGTGCTGTAGCTCCCAGCATTGGTGGCACAATAGCCTCACCTGGGTTTCTAATCAGTGAGTCTAGGTTGGGATGGTTGTAGCTGTTTAATAAAGCTCCCCAGGGGTTTCTGATGAAGTCAGATTTGAGAGTCACCAGTGTAGACCCTCATTCTATTTTGAGATAGACACTAGGTATTTGTGCCCCTAAAAGAGTAGATTTTATAATGGATGGTAGTAGTCTACACAGTTGAGGAAGGGAGTGTTTTGAAAATCCTGGCTAATAATAACAGCAACTAATACTAAGCAGTGACTAAATGCCTTAAGCTATTTTAACTACTTTAAATGTTTCACCTCATTTCATTCTTTTAACTACTTTATGAGTTGAGTACTCTTGTACTCACATTTCTCAGATGAGGAAACTAAGGCAGAGAGCAGTTAATTTGCTTCTGCATGGTCCAGAGCTTTTGCCCCTAACTCCTAGGCTCTATTGCTTGTGATCATTGGGCTCATGCGTCCTTCAAATTTGTGAGTAACACAGCCATACAGCTTATGAAGCGGATTTTAAAAGCATTGGCATTTCTACTGTGTGGGCATTACTTGACGACATTCAGTAGACAGTGTAATGAGGGGAGTTCTGGAACTCTGCTGCCGTTGATGGCATAGTGAGGTTGACTTATCCCCAGAGCTCTTCCCCCCCCTTTGGTACTTTGTCTTCAGAATCAATAATACAGCATAGCAATAAAGAGAAAAACAAAAATATCTCATGATCTGGTTGGTTTTCTCATTTGTGGGATTAATGCAAACTGGCCAGTTTAATTAATGTATATGTTTCGCTGTAGTATTTTCTGTTTGGATATATAATTTAATTTTTTATTAGCAAATTTAGAAATGTATGAGCTTTAAAAATAACCATGTGAGAGAACTGAAGGGAAATACCTCCATCATTACAAGACAGTGGGTGCTTGTACAAGCTTTTAAAAATGGGCAGGTATGATTTGAAAGGCCATGACATTACATGGAGAAAGCCATAGATCTCAGTGCAGCTTCTAATGGCAGTGCACTGGTTTTATTTATTTTCTTTTAAAAAGTGTTTTATATAAAAGAAAAATATTTTAAACAATATAGGATGAATTTTGCAGCATTTTCAATTGCCTGTTTAGTTTCTCATGACACGAGTTTATTCTAACATCTGATTATACTGTCCTCATCCTGAACATGAAGTTTCAGTTAAGAGTGAGTTAACCTCTCTGCTCACAGTGCTGTCTGCTGGCAGCCTTGGGTTTAACTGTGGTCCCAGACCCATCACTATGTAAATGTAGCAGTAGGAACATAAACTTGAGAGTCAAAGGACCTCTAAAGCCTGACTCCCAGCCATAGGACCCCCCTCTGTTGTGTGGCCCATAGTGTAAGAAGGCCCTGAAGAAAAAGCTGGCTCCATCCTGGTCTGCATCCCTGTGGAGTTGTCAGTCCTTCTGCTGCATCACTGTGATCGATACTTGAGCATATTTTAAAACACAGTGTGCTAGAATAATGCAAAATTTATGAGGTGGTTTGGTTTCTCCCCCAAGCAGGGGAGAATGGAAAATGGGAAGTTTGAAAATTTTCTGACATAAAGCTGAGATTAATTACTATGATATCATTACTATCTAATACATTTTGATTTTAAAAGATTGTTTGAGATACAGTAAGTATCTGAGCTGAAAGAAGTGTATCGTGTTATCTGTGACAGGCAGGTACCATGTTCCTTTAAGGAGACTCCCTTCCCCTCAAAGTCATAATAGATGTAATGACTTTGCTGGGGTGGGGGGAGGAGAGAGGGAGATAATTTGTCAGAGTGTGTGTGTGTGTGTGTGTGTGTGTGTGTGTGTGTCTCTCTCTCAGCTGTCATTGATGACTTTTCTTCTGAAGCTTTTATTAGATACATGTGAGTCAAGGGCATCCTCTACCCCATCAAGTCAACATATGTATTTGGCAGATGGATTATTGAATCAACACTGCTCATAGCCATGCTTTGTAAAGATGACTCTGTGTTTTGGAAGGGGGTTTTAAACATTCTTTGTGATATCCTAAATGCAGAGGCAAACAATATGAATTTAAAAGTTTTTGAAATTGAGGACTTAGACAGCTTTTAGAGCTTGGGCAAGATGGAAGTTTATATAGGGAATGTGAGACCCCATGTGTCTTGACATGAAGAGGGAGATGAATGACCATGGGAGAACCATGTTCAGTACTGAGTCTAAGTTAACTGGCTCCCTCTTGAGATTAAGCAGCTAGCCTGTTCTTTAGTCCTTACTAGCAATAGCATCTCTATGGATGCTTCCTGGGAATATAGTTTACAGTGACTCTGTGCAAAAGCATTGAATTATTTTACTGTTAAAACTTAAGAGTAGGTAAACTCACTTGTTTTCTGTGTAGTGACGTCCAGTGGAAAGTGCTAGCATGAATGACAGTATGGTGGTGTGTGAAATCATATTACTATTTAGAAAATAATAAAGGCAGTGTTTTCTAGAGTTAGAGTTTGTATATTTGCTATTTAATATATGCTTAATTGAAAGTATTGTTATAATCCAAATATACATTGTTTTCATGTAACTCAGATTAGCAGTGATACTTAAATGCTTTATTTAAATCTTCTATCAGATACTGTATCAATCTACTTAATAGATCTCTTACTTTCTTCTTTAGTTTTGTCCTAATTGGTAAAAGCTTGGAGTTTTACAGCTCTGAGAGATGCTAGTCCAGTAGTATGTTTGTGATTTGAGGTGTGGAGCAGTGATGCCTTGTTCCCCTGGTGACTGTGAGAGTGGTGACCCAGGTCACTTAACTCATGACCTGTGGACTTCAGGCACTTGCAGGGAGAACTTCCCTCCTTACTGTCTTCCTCTCAGTCCAGCTTAGTGTCTTCGAGGGGGTGGTGAAGTAGGAGGAAAGGATCAAGCTCCTTCAGTGTGCCTTTGAAACACTCCTGAATTGTTAGCCTGTTATTTTTCTTCTTTTCACATGATTTACTTTGCAGTCTATTCTTTCCATAATTGCTAAATTCTTTTCAAAGATAGCATGGAGATAGAGGAAAAAAGAACTCAATCTGAAGATTAGAATTCTGTTATTTTTAGAATGCAATCTCAGCTCTGTAATTGACATCTTTAGGTTGCTATTGGTCTTTGTAAAGAGTGATGTTGCTTAAGATTTATATGTAACCAACTCAATTTTGCTTCACTATCCTATTTCCTTAGGTGAACTTTTTCAAGGGTACTTTGAATGTTTGGTGCAGATTTATAATAAACTAAACACCCTTTCAGGGTTTTTATACTGCCTTTCTAGCAGAGAGAGAGGAAAGAAGGGAGGAAGAGAGGGAGAGAAACGTTGGTTGGTTGTCTTCCATATGGTCCCTGACTGGGGGTCAAACGAGCAACCCAAGCTTGTGCCCTGACCTGGAATTGAACTGGCAGCCTTTCCATGCATGCACAGTGCTTAACCAACTGAGCCACTGTGGCAAGTTATTTTATTTAAAATATGGTGGATTTTGCTTTACTAAATAATTTGGAACATTTTAATGACTTTAGTTGAGAAGAATTCTTGACACAATGCAAAATGGCATTATTTTTAAGGCAGTTTTTTTTAAAGTAAAAAAAACCCCACGAGTGTCAGTAATCCGCACTATATTGATTTACTAGAGGGAGAAGTTCTTTCCTTTTTTGAAATTTATTTTTTTATTTTTTATTGATTTCAGAGAGTGGAAGGAAGAGGGAGAGAGATAGAAACATCAGTGAGAGAGAATCATTGATCGGGTGCCTCCTGCATGCCTCCTGCTGGGGATTGAGCCCAAAACTCAGGCATGTGTCCTGACTGGAAATCAAACCATGATCTCCTGGATCCTAGGTTGATGCTCAACTGCTGAGCCACACCCGCTGGGCGAGAAATTATTTCTTAACACACTTGTACCATGAAATAAAATTTTGGTGCCAGTCTCCTTATTGGTTGGTCATCCAAATTAGAGACAAGTTTTTGCAGGAATGTCAGGTGGGACAGGCATGTAATGGAAATGAAACTGGAGGCTTTGCATCAAAACAGACACCCACCTGGACCACGTGGCTTTGCCTCCCCTGTGGCATCATAGATTTTCAGCAAGAATGGGCTCTGGCATTGTATTTTACACGTGTGGTGTTAATTTTATGCTAGTTAAATCATATATGTACTATTCATTATTCAGCTATGATGTGAAAGTTGAAAGGTTGTCCAAATCTCAAGTTGGCTTGAAATGTCTTAACAGTGAAGAAGAAGAGGTAAGAGGTTTATGTGGAAACGCCTGATTGCCATCTAGCACCGAGCGGGTCTGATGAGGTGGGTTGCTGTTTCTCTTGCACTCGTACCAACACATTTGTGGCCTCAGCTTGAGTTTTCCTTGTCTAGTTCTGTTGACCTGATTTTTATTTTAGGTTTTTGGTAAATAAGAATAGCTGCTGCTATGCTCTGAGGGAATGTTTGAAGGAACTGTTAAACAAATTTGAAGAATGAGAGTTTCCCAGAAAAAATTTAACTTTGAAAAAGAAAGTGTGGGGGGGGGGGTAGGAAGAGAATCAAGATAATCACATAATTCTTAAACTTTAGAATAAAAAAATTGATTTGGCGTCTTTTTCTCTTCAAATCTCAAATTGTGGGTTCACATTTGCTGCTTCTGTTGCTGACAGAAGCAGCGAATAGCTGTTCAGAGCAAAGGTGACAGTTGAGATGACATTAAGGTTCGGACTTGAGTGCCATCAGCTTTCACACAGGTCCACGAAGTTTCTGCTGTGGCCCAGCCCTGGCACGGATCCTGTGGGGCCAGCTCAGCTCAGTCTCAATCACGGCACTGGGGGAAAGAGAGTACAGTAAGAGCCAAGTGCTGAAGGGAGAGGGATGTGTCGTGTCCAGGCTTTATTCCCTGCCGTTCAGACAGGCCGTGCTTGGTCTGACCGCCTCACCTGTGCTAAGACTTCCCCTGATTGAAATGAATTCTTTCATGAACTGTTCTTTGTCCTCAGTGTTTTCTGGGCTTTTGGCATTTAGATTTTGTAACTGGGTATTGCTAGTGAACTTTCCATATACCTATGGCTTGCCTCCCAAAATTGATTTTAAAGTCTTCGAGAGCAGTTATTAAAGACATGGCTGTACCCCCCTTATTCCCAAACAGTTACTTGCAGACTGAGTGTTCTTAGTTGGCTGGTTGTACGTATGGTGCCAGCCTGTTATCTCCACTTGTTACGGTGTGCAGTGAGTGTGGAGATGTTTCCAGTCATTAGGAGCCTCCATGTGGATGGTCTTCTGTATCCTTGGCTCTTCCAGCCGTCCACATTGGGCCATGGCCTTGCTTCTTGCAGTGGGTTTTTCTACCGGGGATGGTGTCGTGGTTCTGACACCAGCCTCTGACACTGGTTTCGAAAGCTGTTTTGGGTGGATCATATCTGCAGAGCTCAGAACTCTGCTAGTTCAAGGACACATTTACAAACATATGCTTAACAGAAGACGTTCTAGGGAAGGATAGGCAGTTTAAATTTTTTATTAAGATCAATTTAGCCCTGGCCGGGTAGTCCAGTTGGTTAGAGCATGATATGCTATGCCAAGGTTGCAGGTTCGCTGTCCGGTCAGGGCACACAAGAATCAATCAGTGAATGAATAAATAAGTGGAGCAACAAATCAATGTCCCTCCCTCCCTCTCTCCCTCCTTCCCTCCTTCCCTCTAAAATAAATAAATAAAAATTTAAAAGGACAAAGGATCAAATTATGGTGGTTGTGGGAATAGTTACCTTATTTCCACTTAGAAAAGGAAAGTTGCCTGGAGTGTGTTTAATTTTCATGGTATAACATCATAGACTGTCCGAGCAATATATGACCCTCAGAGATGATCTAACCCCTTCAATGTGCACACAAGGCCTCGTTGCCTACAAAGAGGAAATGACTTGTTCAGTGTCAGGCCATTTAACCCAAATATACATTTTTATTTTATTTTATTATTGAATTTATTGGGGTGACATTGGTTAATAAAATTACATAGATTTCAGGTATACAATTCTGCAGTATATCATCTATATATTGTATTGTGTGTTCACCACCCCAAGTCAAGTTCTTTTTCCATCACCCTCTTCTACCTTCCCCTCATACTATTGTGTGTGCCTATGAGGTTTTTTTTGCGCCAAAGACAATTTATTGCCTTTTTTTGTGTGGCTGCTGATAGAGTATGTGCCACTAGATGCTTTTGTCATTAAAGCTCTGGTTTCTTATTGCATCTACTCTATCTGTGCACCTTTAAAGCTTCACAAACTAGCTTTACTCCTGTTTTGTAACCACCCCCCTCTGATAAGTTTATAGTTACAAGTTTTACTGTTATTTGAGGTAGTCCTTTTCACACTTTAATTACTAGTTGTGCAATTATGTTGTGCTGGAGTTCCCATAGAGTTAATTTGTTTCTTTGCTTCCATGCAGGATTTTGGTCAGAAATTTTACTTTTAAATATGCTACAGAATAGCATTAGTACAGACTATGATATTGTGTTTGCTGTGTTTTCTGTTTTTTTTTTTTTTTTTCTCCCTGAGATACTATGTACTATAATTTCTTAGAAGAAGTAAGTTGAAGGCACAGGTATATAGATTTCAAATACCTCATAGGGAAAAACTTTATAAGGACAGAGAACTAACCATGTATTTAAGGAATTAAGAAATTATATGGCGCCCAGCTGGTGTGGCTCAGCAGTTGAGCGTCGACCTATGATCCAGGAGATCATGGTTCGATTCCCGGTCGGGGCACATGCCCGGGTTGCAGGCTCGATCCCCAGTAGGGGGCATGCAGGAGGCAGCCAATCAATGACTCCCTCATCATTGATGTTTCTATCTCTCCTTCTCTTCTCTCCCTTCCTCTCTTTGAAATCAATTAAGATATATTAAAAGGAAAGAAATTATATGGCATTAACATATTTAATCTTTACATATGCTTCATAAGGTATCTTGGAGCCCTTATTTAAACAGTCCTTATTTCAGCTGCATTTGAAATTGACCAGATGGACCCAGGTAAACTCTTGAGTCACATTAGGGACTTTTGAGTCACATTACGGACTTTCAGAAAAAAATCCTAAGTGCTAACAAATTTTGAAACAAATAAGATTAATAAAAGAATACAGATTGATCTTTGGCTTGAGATAACCAGTAACATATTTCAAAGCATTCTTTGGGATGTGGGGCTGTGTGAGAGAGCACCTGTGGTTTCATATGCTAGACTAAAGATTCTAGGAGGGAAGGGACCATGTACTTCTGTCACCTTTGTGTCTGGTTCAAAAGCCTGCTATATAGTAGATGCTGCATAAATATTTGAATGAATGAATAATCTCCATCTCCCGGTGATAAGTTGCAACATGAGAGACATGTACATCTTCAAGACATTGGTTTAAGTACTGCGGAAGTATAGGGCAGAAGATAAAGTGGGAATGCAGCCCAATGTTGCAAAGAGGTAGATGTTAGGAATTGAAATTTGGGTAAGATTTTCACAAGTGAAGAGATGGGGAAGACTTTACAGGAGGGCACAAGCAAGCAGTAACAAATTTGAGTGACAAGGAGATCCCATAGATGACTAGCTCTTATCTTGGTGTATATGAATGTACACACATGTGCCGTTTGTCTGTCTGTATTGCTCCCTTCCCTGCTGAAAATCTTTCCTAAAAGCTGACATGTAATCCGTGCCTGCGGAAAAGTCCGTGGTAATAAGATGCAGGTGCACTCTGGTCTTTGGCAAATCTTTTGAAGATACTATCACGGATTCTTCTGTGACTGATAGTAGGAGTGTCCTGGGAGGAAAAGGGAGCCCCACCTCTGGCATCAGCAGTTCTCAGGAGACATTGGGGTCAGGCCCCTTCACTCTCCCAGGTGGCTATGATCTGAGCCACATTCTAAGCACCACTGTCTGGTGCCCACTGCCTTGGGCCAGGCCACACTTGTGTTGTGATGTTGTGGTGCTGTGGAACTCTCACCTGCACCCCACAGTGTTGGGTGTGCTGGATTTGAGTATGGGAATCACAGAGTACAGCTAGTAACTGCTTGCCCAGGCTTCCAAAGAGGAAATTGGTGGTAGGTGCAGGTCCTCTGCCAAAATTCACTAATTCCTTACAGTCTCCTCCTCTGTATGGGCTTAGGAATATTTCTTCTGATACAGTCATGTTAGTATTGCCAGGTGTAAGGAATTAATTGTGTATTTTTAAGTAGTTTGAGATAAATTTCTTTAAGAAAAATTGGGAGATGGTTTTGGATAAAGTAGTAGGAGTAGGGAGGGGAGAGCTGCTTTGGGGTCCAGTTTTTGTGGCTTTGTTTTAAAATTCTGAACTGTTTTGAGTTTATCATGTTTCAGTGAGGTTTTCTTCCCAGGTCAGAGAAATTCCTTTTTGTCAGACTCAGTCTCTCTTATTTGCTAATTGGAGAGTATATATATGTGAGGATAGGTTTTTCTTCTGTGAGGTTGGATGACTAACCTTAGGGATCTCTTGGGTTGGTTATTTCTTTTGTAGATACTAGAAAAGTATTCAGCATTTTAGTTAGCTTTAAAGGATCTCACACTATATTAGTAGTTAATGTCTTAGCTGCATGTGCTCTCTATGCTGCTGAGGCCATAGGCTGTGTCTGTATCTTCAGGTGTCCGAGACCCTATTTTAATGTTCATGGATTGTTTTTTTTCCTACATATTTGAGTGAAGCACTGCCTAGTGCAAGACTGGAATGAATGGTTCTTGAATCTGTATATCTTTGATAGGTAACATAGTGTAAATCATTATTTCTTGATATTGAAGTTAAATATGTTAATTGGTGGGTGGTATATTTTTCATAATTTTTTTCTAAGCAGAAAAAGAAAGAAAAAAGAGAAGGACTTTATCAGTTTTTTCCTTCCAAATCTGTACCCCTGACAAAGCTGTTTGCTCCTCCTGCAATAAGAGATGCACCAAAGGGCAGAGCACGAATCCAGAAGTTGGAGTAGTGTCTGAGCTGAAACTCCCTTTCCTCTTCTATTGTAAATACTCGTGTGATGATCTCAGACAAGTTAAGTTTCCTGCTCTTTAGTTCTCTCATCTATAGATGGAGCTGAAGACATTCACCTGGCATGATTTTTGTGAACACAGTCACACGTGAATGTGAATGGAGACAAGAAAGTGCTCTGTAACTAGTGGCCCCCCACTGTTCTTTTTGTAGAGAAGGGTGCAGGGATGGAATGATCAGGAGGAGGGTACAGTGCCAGGTGCCTCCTTTCATGTGCTGATGTTACAAAGCTTCTAGAGATTTTGAGTTCTGTAGCAGAACATCTTGTAGGTCTACCTTGTTTTTTAGGGACTTT